CATGCAAGTTAGAAGGTAAGGGGGAAGACTCGATCTCCTAGCGGAAATAATAGCGAGGCTGATTATGCTCAACATGGTTAAATTCCCTGATGTTTATACTCAAAGCTTAGAAACTGCTGGACAATAAAAAGACGCAAGTGCTAAAGAAAGTAAGCCCATATCCAATTGCGAGATGAGAAGAAACGGAGACCAAAGTCCAGAATTGTCAGGGATAAGGTCTAAGGTCTGGTGGACTAACGTTGATACAACAAATTCTGCAGTCTGCAAGACCAAGGCCTGCTGAGACCGCTTGCGCATGAACCAGCAGGCAGCGACTGGCAGGGGCCTAAGACAAGACTAACGTATGCCTAAAGTTGTGCCGCATGAAATAGGCATCGGCGGTCCGTTTGAGGGACAACTAAGGCGGAATATAAAAATGGAAGACATTCACTAAAACGTACACTGGTTTTTGCAGCGTCCGATAGAGCGTAATAGAAGAAAATACTAATAGAAGCAAAGATTAGGATTAGGGGTTATAGTTTGGGGTTAAGGTTAGGGTTTAGCTCAACTATTTTTCAACCAAAAAAAGTACAATCACGCACTCCCAATAGCTGTTATTTTGCATACTTCACCTTGTCGCCTGTGCGTGTCCCGGCTCCAGCTGTAAAAAAAGCTATCACCACCAGCTCCGTATTAGAGGTGACTGAGGTTTGTTTATATCAGGTGGGACTACCAGTCCATATCCGAACGGCTTTCTTGCTCAAGTGAAAGCGCTGATGTAGAATTGCTAAGTTCGCATAAATTGAGATGAAAGCCAGAAAAGTTATTACGCTGCGGAGGATTTTAACGCTCCTAAGATAGGCCGGAATATCGCCTTAGTAAACACTGCAAAAGCATCATTGGATTGCAGATAAGTGCGGTTTTCTCTGGTCAAGTACCTCATTCAGCACGTGGATTTTGAAAACGGAATGATAGAAGAAAAACGATTTAACGATTTGAATCTTGTTTTCTATAAAGAAGAAGTTGTAGAGAAATGACCTCACAAATACCAACTTAATTAACTAGCCAAATTGTGTTCACTTGCGTGTGTTCCGTCCTGCCTTTTCCACAACGTAAATCAACAGTCCGTGAAATATCTGAAAGCGCCACTTAGACTCGATGAGACGCGCTCCATTGGAGGACAATTAATCAATTGATACGAACGATGTCGAATATGTCCGGTCATACCTTCAACGAATTATGGAGCATCCAGTTGACGTCCGTTGTCCTAAAGCAACAATAAGATCATGTTCTCGAGCTGCAGAGATGAATAAGACAACATGAGGAGCATCAAGGACATACAAGGGCTGTTGACTATGAGGAGCAGCGGAAAACATGCCATAATCAGGTATGAACTGCTGGAGCTTCCTTCAGTCCTGGGCTGACAGCAGACCTCAATGAGCTCAAAAATTTCTAATTACACAAGACAATCAACAGCCTCCCGAATAAAAGAGCCGCGTCAGTTCTCAAGTCCGATAGGGCAACGCTTCTGAAGGAGGAATCACCGATTCTAAAGAGTTGGACAGGAGACTTTAGGAGCCTCCCGAATCGCCCTCTATATTCTCCGACGTCTCTACCGACCGTTGATCTCAGATGAAAACGAATGACGACTTAGAGTCGCCACTTCCTCTCTTAGAAACAATCTGCGCCCTGCACAAACTGTCCAGCGGGAAGGCACTAGGATTCGACGCGATTCAGGTCGAAGTCTACGAGGGCGACAGACCCCAGCTCATGTGTCAGCTGGCAACGCTATTTTAGGAGATTTGGTCAGAGGACAAGTTCCTCGGGACTTTAAGTATGCGAAAATCGTTCATATCGACAAACGGGAAGGGTGCCGGCAAGCCCGTATTAACCAGAAAGGAGTCTCGCTGCCCAACATCGCGACCAAGATCTTCGCTCGCATCCTCCTCAACCGTCTCAATGGTCATCTCGAACAAGGACTTAACCCAGAAAGCCAGCGCTGCTCCCGCAACAGGACCTGTTGCAAACGCGACGGACACGATCACCGGTCCCAGACTATGGATAGCAGGAGAAGACAGGAGTAATGAAAAAATCTATGATTCAATGTCAAACCACCTGATAGTCCAACGCATGCCACGCGCGTCGCGCTGAGCCGAGTTCCTTCCATTCAGATAAACAAACAGCAAGTTCACAAAGGGTGAATAGGTAGATAAATGCAAAATAGTCTGGCGCCTCGGCACAGTACCCCCTCCGAGACCGGATGGCAGTGGAAATGACGCCGAAGGAGGTGTACAAGTCTAAAAGAAATGAGGGACCAAACGATCAGGAAAGTGAACGTGACGACCACTGCGATGGATATATACAGGAACCGTAGAAGATTAGATAAGTTCTCTGGCGGACATGTTGGAGTTAGAGGTGGCAGTGGGAGGTAACGGGAAAGAGGCAACACGGGATGGCGGAAAAGAGGACGAAGGAGGTCGGGAAGCAGAGGGTAGGGGAACACGGGGCTCGTCTGACGGAACGAATGGGTTAGGTGCTTTGTGGCTGTTCACACTTACGACTTCTTAAACAATTGGTGCGTTGCATGCAGAAGGCCCTTGTCTCCCGAGGGGAGAGCCCAAATGGGCCGCCATAAGGCTGTTCTAGAGGCCAACGAGCCCAGTCACATTGAAGAAAGACGTGTGAGCACGTTGCCAAATCCTTCTTGAGATTAGAAGGACAGGCAGAGGACCTGGGCGGAACCAGAGAAAGTGTCCGCATAAACTGTTGGAGGCGGTGCAGGAGGTTGTTGGGATCCTCGACCGCGCCACGATAATTTCGCAAGACTAAACAAAAGCCGGACTGTGCCACTGAAGACCAAATCGGCTAAGGCACAGTCAAGGTCTGGCTTGAGAGCGAAATGGGCGTCCAAGATGACCAAGGGAAGACGATCTGTCCGATTCTCCGGATCATCCTCGGCGCGTGAAGAGGTTCTTAAATGGCGGTGAAAGCGCCTTATCATTCCGTTGGCAGTCGGGTGAAAGGCTATAGTCGGGGTGCGGGTACCGCCTAAAAAGGAATGAAGAGAGTAGACCCGCTTCTGTCGCTGACTCTGATGATGTGTTCCAGCGAGAATCCGAAATGTCAGACAAATAAATCTCGTGTTCCGGCAATCCCTTTTTCTTCTTATCAGACTGGAAGACGTTAGATTACGGCTGAGTACCGCGGTCAGTCGTGATCAGA